GGAGGAGAGGAGTCAGTTGTTTTAAAAGCTGCGTGGCTACTGAGACGTTTGGAAGCAGGTGGATGTTTGTTGCAGCAGATTTAAGAGGAAGCAACTTACTGTTGACGGTTAAACTAATCATCGATTAGCTGTTGGACAAATTCTCTGATTCTAAAATCTTCTAAAAAGTTTCTTTAAACTGGAGGACGTCATGTGGGACTTTGGGAAACACCATTTTATAGACCCGTTAATGGAGGAACTAAATCTACTGATGAGGCGACTAAACGTAATAAAAAGGTTTCAGCCTGGACTGAGACTAAATAAACAACCTTTGAAGATCTTTACCTGCTTCGTGTTCAGATTAATCATCAGTGACTAAAGCTGCTCCACATTCACCCGTCCTGTTGTATTTTCAGATATTCGAGCAGCACAGTTTCATGTTCAGACAGACGGGCGGTTAACGGGCAGCTCGACAGGCTGTGCGGCCAACTGGCCACCGATGACCTCTGGGGTTTCTCCTGGATCAGGTTCAGCCCTCTAATTTCATTTCCACTCTGGCTCGGCTGCGAGCAGACGCCTCAGCCTCCGTCCCGCGGACTCGGCGAGGACACGTGCGGCCAGAGACGAGCCGCAGCTCGCTGTCACTTCAACGTGTCCGCCGCCGATGCACAGCACGGACCGGTGAGCGTTTATACGCTACCGTGGCGCACGTATTAAACGTTACGCGTACGGCCCTTTCATTTGTGACGGATGCAGAAATTAATAAACTAAAGGTGAAATTATGTTTGTTTCTTTAAATACTCTTAAATTTGTGCAGAGTTTGGTTTGTTGGGCTTTTACCTGAACTAAAAATGCTTCCTTGTTAAAAAGAACGAACCGTCCCTGTAATTCACAAAACTACCTGGTGATTTTTTTTCTGACTCGGCTGCATTCGAACACCTTTAGCGTCCGTCCTGCAGACTCGGCGAGGACACGTCAGCATGTCTGCTGCTGGTCCCCAGCATGCTTACTGAACAGGTGAACAAGCTGAAATGTGAACAGGAAACGGACTTGGAGTTGTTGGATGCTAGGCTAGCAGTTTCCCTCTGCTTCCAGTCTTTGTGCTAAGCTAGGCTAAACAACACACCTGTTTCCCTACATAACAGAAAGTCAAAAATGTTTTGTAACGTGAGCAGCAAAGTTGGATCAGATCAGATAGAGATTAGATGACGTCTCCCCAAAGATTTATTTAAACTACTGGTTGTACTCTGAACAGAGCTCTTCTCAGGTCGACATTTCTGTTTTATAAATTAATTATGGATATATATATATATATCCATTTAATTTATTTAATATATATAATTTCATTCAAATATCTATATATATATAGAGAGAGATATATATATTAAATTAAATGGATATATCTCTCTCTCTCTCTCTCTCTATATATATATATATATATATATATATATATATATATATATATATATATAATATATATATATTATGGATCCCTACAGACGGAGATCCTTTCTGTTGAACTAGAAGTCGCACGATGTGACCACGATGAGCTAATGTTAGCTCGTTAGCTTCCTCGCTGTCGTTCTGATCTTACGAGCTTCTTTTTCTCCACATTATTGTGTTTGACAAAGATTCTCTTGTGATGGTGTCTTTGACTCGTGGCTCTAGTTTCTTCCTCCTGGTTTCCATATTCCATATTTTCCATATAGTGTTTCCTACACGCGCTCCTGCCTCGCCGCCGCACCCACAACCCTCCACCCGGCGCCCTGCGACGAATCAATCTGCTCTCTGTCGCGCCGCCTGTCCACAAACAAAAAGCCCGCCGGCCAAACATCTCTCTCCACCTGTCGCCCCCCGCTGAGCATCGGCAGGTGAAAACAAAGGAGAAGTGACAAGCCGCGTTAACCCGTCGCTGCTCGGTCACATGATCCGTTTCCTCGCCGACAGCTCGCCGCGTCCTCTCGCTGTGATTTTCTGTCTTGTCCAAAACGTCTGAGAGGAAAAAAACCAACAACTCTGCGGCCTTATTGAGTTTTCTTTTGAATAAATAAATATTTAAAGGCGGCGGGGGGGCGGGGGGGCTGACGTTCCACTCAGGCTGCAGATCAGGCCATCGAAGGGGCCCGACAATGTGTGCTCACTATTAGTATCAATTTACAAATAAACTGCTTTTTTGGTGACTGGATCTCCGATGTCAGATTTTGATAAATGGTTTCAATTTGGCAGCTGCTTTGGAGTGTCAGGGCCCATCTGACGCCCGCCGCCCGCCGCCGCCGCTCGCTGCCTCAAAGAATCTGCCTCAGTTAGCCTCGCAGGCGGCAGCAGCCAAAATAATCTCTTCATACTAACCAGGGCAGGTGTGTGTGTGTGTGTGTGGTGTGTGTGTGTGTGTGTGTGTGCATACAAATGTCTTTCTGAGGGTGAATATTGAAACCAGGATCCAGATTTCACTCCTGATGTTTGTCTCCACAGATCTGAGAGGAGCTTCCTGTGTGACGCTTTCCTTCGCCGCTGAAGCTGCTGCTGTTTAATAGATTTTTAAATGCGCTTTTCTTTCCTTTCAGGTTTCCTTTCATTTCACTTCAGATAAAAATCCACCTGCAGGGACTTTAAACTTCTTCACATTAAGCTGTAAACTCGACAACGGACCGTCGTCCAATTACTGATTCATTGTTAAAGAATCTAGTTTTGAAAGAAACCCAAAGATGTTCAGGTACCGAGATCCTCACAATTAAGAAGCCGGAGAATAAAAAAACTTAGCCGTTGATTGATGGGAGTGTTTCTCCCACTTTCACCCGAGCTGACAGTTTCACTGCTTTCACCTCTTTTACAGTTCGCTCATCTGTTGTCACTGAAAACACCTCGACTCCTTTCAGTGCTTCAAACTAGGACTGAACCAAAACCTTTTATTTGCTAAAATCAGTGAATGGACCCTGCCTGTATTTGGGTCAGGCCTTTAATTCCTCTCGCACAAAACTGAAACTACTATGTTTATTTATTTCAAACAGAATATTACTTGTATAAAAAATCCAATATCAAATACACGTCATTCATTAGATCTGACAGGCGGCTTCTGTGCTTTTATTCTGAAGGCAGCAGCGTAAGGAAAACAGCAGGCCGCAGGATGAGAGAAGTTAGCAGACCGAGAGCGACGGACTTCAGGATTCACAACTTGGATTCATTTTTATTAAAAAGCTGTTTAGGTTCTTCTGATGGGTGGAGCCTCACAGACTGAAGGAAGATAAATAATCAGGAACGGAAACATTCGGACTGAACGAGGCTTCAAAGGTGACGAGAGGCGGCACTTTTCTCTTGTACCTGGCAGGTTACAGCTGGAAATCTCTAAGAACGCTAACTTCGTGTTGATGTGTCCACATTGATCACATGTTTAAACATTAATATTTTGTATTAACGATCTGAGCAGCTTAGAAGCAGCTAAAGCGGCGACCCCGCGGGGTTTAAGAGCTTTTTAACTTCTATATAAAAAGCAGAGCAGGCGTCTAATGGAGACCTGCGTTAATTAGTCCGAATGTGTTTCCGCAGCAGGCGGCTGTTAACTGAAGTTTTACTGAAATCACAATTAGGCTTGGAATGTGCAATATTTATTAGAGGTGATATGTGTGTTAAAATATATATTTTTAAGTCAAACGTTGTCAGAGACGTCCTGCCTACCCATCACATGACTTAAGAAAACGCCTTAATGGCATTTAGGTATTTTTTTCAGCTCTGCTTACAGACAGTTTACTGCTTTCAGTGCTTAACCTTCGTCTGCTTTTCAGTTTCGTCCGTTTCATTAAGCCGCAGCTGAAACGTGCAGCTTCTTTCAGCTCTGTTAAACTCAAGTGTCTTTTCTGGTTCAGCGCAATGTTTTATTGTCTTTCAGTGGAATCTCATGTCGTTTTATAAAATTCAGTTAAAGAAATAAAAGAGTTTGGTTTGCTGAATCTTTAGGGCTCATTAAAACTGACGGTCAACAGATTTACAATGGCCCCGTGTTTGGAGTTCTGCTGTAAATCTAAGTAGTTCAAGTCCAGAGAAAAAAGTTAAAAGCAGCGTTAAAGTCACCAAAACTGACATTTTCAGATCTAAAATGAACAATTAAATGAAGCAGTTTTGTTTTGTATGAACAGGCTGTCGTGCTGCAGAATAACTTGAAGTAGTGAATCTAATGACCTAAACTTTGTCTTTACATTCTTTAGTAATTCTGCAGCAGTGGAAGGAAACTAAATGGAACAGCCTGTTACTCCACCCTCAGAAGCTTTATTTGGACTGTATTATATTTATTATTAATGAAGGCAGACGGAGCAGCTGGTCATCGTTTGATCCTACAGTGAAACAAAACTTCTTCATTTTTTCAAGTTTTGGTGACGGTGTTTTAACTTTGTACCATTTTTCACCGGACATACAAACTACAAACAGGAGGAGTTTTTAAAACTTCTGACCTGCAGTGAGTCTGTCCAGCAAGTCAAAACCCGGTGAACCAATCACCTCCCACCACCTGCACCATCGCCCTGACTCTCCGCCTCCATCAGGTCGTTTCCTAACATCATGGCCTCCCTCGCTGCGGCTCAGCCAGCGACTCGCTGGCTGAGCCGCAGCGACCTTCCTCCTCGCCAGTCGAGGGGGAAACAAAGCGCAGGCAGAGCAGCAGCAGCGGGGGCAGGATTTGCTCCCATAAACAGCTGTTTCCTGTTTGAAGCATCGGGAACAATCAGCCCGCTGGCAGCGAGGAGGCGCCGGCAGTGCCAAGAGTGTACCGAGCAGAACCAACAAATCCAATCAGGCAACTCGGCCCTGTGCACGCAGTGCAGGTGGTCTACGGCGTCCACAGAGGGACAAACAGCCACTTCTGCTTTAATTCAGCCTTTAATGTGGCTGTAAAACCTGATTAAAGCCTCAAGCAGGCCGATTAGCTGCAGCTCTGACTGACAGGTGCATTCTGGGATGTACCTGCCGCACAAAACAAAGTGACCCCCGACCTGACGCGTGCAGCGGTGACTTAATGAGTGGCGTCCACTGACCTTAGGTAACCTCTCGGGGTCCCCGGGGTGGCGAGGGATGACCTTCTGTAACCTCTGGAAGCCGTAGTCGATGGTCGGCTCGTTCAAGGCTGCAGGGCGGAACAGAGAGAGAGAGCGGCGGTTAGGACGACAGAGACAAATTCAACCCGACACCCAGACGAACACACGGCAGCACAGAAACACACGCCGACGTCAGAAGTTTGTGACGGCTTTCACGCTAAAATCAGTTTATTTCTGCAGAAGATCCTCAAACACAGTGACTCAAGATATTTGGAACCTCCATTAACAAAACAATCAGCCTCCAAACCCTGAACAGATAAAATACTGAGGACATAAACCCAAAATACCACAAAACAAGAAAAGAAATCAATAAGAAATCAAATTAAATCCATCAAAGAGTCCTGGCAGCGAGCTCATTCTTAGAAATCTCTGAAATTTGACACCTTGATGATTGTGAGGGAATTAATGAGCTCAAATGTTAGATCTATATTTTAGACACGTATGTAAAATGTGAGTCTCATGTTCCGGACTGAATTTCAACAGAATGAAAACTCACACGGTTTCAAACATCTTTAACAATAAAAGTGAACGTCTGAAAGCACACGTTCAAACCCAGCCTGTTTTTTATTTAGTTTCACTTTTTTTTTTTAATCAAGCCTCTGAACTTTGTGAAACTTCGAGATCTTCCCACGAGATTTCAAACATTTCAGAAAAATGTTTGTGGGGGTTAAATTGCAGTTAATTCAATCATGGATCCTCCAAGGACACATAGCACCAGGATCTCTGAGGTTTGTAGCCAAAACAACACGTTTTCTTTCAGACTTTATTTGAGAACATTAAGAAATATCCACATGCTACTTATAAAATCCTAAAAACACAAGCGGCTGAGCAAGAACTCTGCCGAAATACATAAAGACTGAAACTGAGTCTGCTGAGCCAAAAGGATAACCTCTGTTTTTTTAAACCTGGGCCCTGATTCCACACATGTTGGCGCTGAAATGACTCGTAGGAACAGAAGTTTTGCACCTGTGCAGGAGATGCACCGGCTGAATCATCTTCCTTCCTGTCACACAGAAAGAGCTTCTTGTTGCCAGCGACAGGCTCAGACTGTTACACCGGCGAGAGACTCCCGGTGACAAACCTTGGTTTTTAACAGGAAACTGAAGTCTCACTCTGAAGTCTCGTGAGAGGAGTAACGTTAGGAAGTCAAGTCTTGCTAGCAGCTCCTGTACGTACACAACAAACTCCTCGTTTCCATTCGGCGTCCTCCTGCAACGACTCGCCTCTCTAACTGTGCCGCTAAAGCATCTCCTTTGGGGTGTGACAATAAATCGATACAGTAATACATCGTTGTGCATTTTTCCATGATACTGTATCGATATTCCAGCCCATCATATTGATACATAATATTAATAAAAAACAAGACTTCGACGTTTAGCTCAATGCTAACATATAATGGAAATCTCCATTAACGTGCTAACAGACATTAGCATCGTGAAAATACAATCTTAACATAAACATTTTGCTTCACGCGCTGAACATCCTGACTGACATACTGTGCAGATAATCTAAGAGCTGCTAACTTCACTGGCTTGATCTGCTGCTTCTGCGCTCCACACTGACCAGCTACAGCAACCCCAAAGGGTCAAAACTCAAACCCAATATTCCCGGTGGCCTAAAAATACAGTTATCAGTAGGAAGAGAAAGGGCAGCACGACGCTGTGTCACTGAACAGTCATTAATATAATGTGATGTACAGATTAGACTCAAGCAATTTGTATTAGCAGGAAAAATTCAGTGAATTTGCCTTTTATGAACAAATATTTTGATAATCATTTTTCATAGTTGCTCTGTATAATCCAATAAATAGTAAACTTTTTCACGGGCATTTTGTATTTATAGTTACAATATCGTGATGTATCACTTTAGGATTATCAAGCGATATAATCGATTATCGCAGAATTTAGCCTTTGCTAAGCCCGCCCCCCTTAGTTACTGTTGCTAAGTCCGGCAAACTGTCTGCGCTGCCACTGTCTATTACTGCACTCCTCAGAGAAATATTGTCAAATGTATATAAGCGATCTCAGAAAGAAGCAGACAGTTTTGCAGTTGCATTAAACATTTTTTATTCTTATTTTATTCTGGCTGTCAAACTGATTCAGACTGACTCAAACTGACAGACTGACTCAAACTGATTCAGACTGACTCAAACTGACAGACTGACTCAAACTGATTCAGACTGACTCAAAATGACTCAAATTGACAGACTGACTCAAACTGATTCAGACTGACTCAAATTGACAGACTAACTCAAACTGATTCAGACTGACTCAAAATGACTCAAACTGATTCAGACTGACTCAAACTGATTCAGACTGACTCAAACTGATTCAGACTGACTCAAATTGACAGACTGACTCAAACTCATTCAGACTGACAGAATGACTCAAACTGATTCAGACTGACAGACTGACTCAAACTGATTCAGACTGACTCAAACTGACAGACTGACTCAAACTGATTCAGACTGACTCAAACTGATTCAGACTGACTCAAAATGACTCAAATTGACAGACTGACTCAAAATGACTCAAATTGACAGACTGACTCAAACTGATTCAGACTGACTCAAACTGATTCAGACTGACTCAAAATGACTCACATTGACAGACTGACTCAGACTGATTCAGACTGACTCAGACTGATTCAGACTGACTCAAACTGATTCAGACTGACTCAAACTGATTCAGACTGACTCAAATTGACAGACTGACTCAAACTGATTCAGACTGACTCAAACTGACAGACTGACTCAAACTGATTCAGACTGACTCAAACTGATTCAGACTGACTCAAACTGACAGACTGACTCAAACTGACTCAAACTGATTCAGACTGACTCAAATTGACAGACTGACTCAAACTGATTCAGACTGACTCAAACTGACTCAGAATGACTCAAATTGACAGACTGACTCAAACTGATTCAGACTGACTCAAATTGACAGACTGACTCAAATTGACAGACTGACTCAAACTGATTCAGACTGACTAAACTGACTCAAACTGATTCAGACTGACTCAAACTGACTCAGAATGACTCAAATTGACAGACTGACTCAAACTGATTCAGACTGACTCAAATTGACAGACTGACTCAAACTGATTCAGACTGACTCAAATTGACAGACTGACTCAAACTGATTCAGACTGACTCAAACTGACTCAAAATGACTCAAACTGACAGACTGACTCAAACTGATTCAGACTGACTCAAATTGACAGACTGACTCAAACTGATTCAGACTGACTCAAATTGACAGACTGACTCAAACTGATTCAGACTGACTCAAACTGATTCAGACTGACTCAAATTGACAGACTGACTCAAACTGATTCAGACTGACTCAAATTGATTCAGACGGACTCAAACTGACACAAAAAATGAAAGATAGAAGCTAAAGCATATAGTACAAGTGAACCACTGCATCCCCCGACGACTGAGATATGAAGGATCAACAGTGTTCCTGTACAGCTGCTTGGCCTCTGTTCATTATTACAGTCATTAAAAAGCAGAACAGCAGGACTTTATTACGTTACATTCAGTCTCTCTGGATAGCTGCTGTAAATATTACAAGATGCCGCAGGAACAGCGTTTGACCAGATCTGAGAAAAATACAGCCAAAAAAACCTGACTGACATACTGTGCAGATACTTAAAGTCCACATGTTTCCTGAGCTCTGTGTGGAATAAAAAAAGAGCTGCTAACTTCACTGGTTGAAAGTGTCGGACCTCAGTTAGAGAGAGTCCTATCCTGCACTGTGATTGGCCAGCTGTGTATCCGGGGCGTGGCTTTGGGTCAATTGATGTATCGTGATATTATTGTTATGGTGAGGTAAACTGTGGAAACAGCGCCCAGGTTTAAAGACACAGAATTGATCCTTTTAAGTGTGCTGGTGCAGGAAAAGTATAAATAGAAAATAAATTATATATAGAAAGTTGATTTCTGTTGGAAATGTATTTATTTATTATTAAATATATATTATATTCTAAAGATAGAGATAAAGGCCCTCTGCAGTTTGCTGGAATCAGAGAATTTGTCTTTAAAAAAATGACTGAAAACAATTAAATATTCAATTAATCACTGCAGATTTAAATGACGATTATCGATCTAGAACTGGAACAAACTGCAGAGGCCTATAATATATATATATATATATATAAATAAATACATTTCCAACAGAAATCAACTTTCTGTTTTTTTTGTTTCAACATACAGAAACTCACTCTTTCACACAGTCTGGGCTGTTCTACGGACTTTTGTCTTCTAATCTGATGACAGCGAGATGTTTTGTATTTCTTTTGAGAACAGATGCCTTCTTGCTCTCTGGCTCTCCCTTGGACAGGATCACATGTCTGCATGCGTCCAAGGCAGTAAATAAATGAAACCTGCAGTAAGTTAGAAAGTGAACGAGGTTTAGCGGCGAAGCGGACTCTTTCAGGACTAAACCGAAGCCTGTTTCACTGCTGCTGAAAAAGAAGGTCCGACCTCTCGCTGATCTTCAGCTTCACTCTGTTGGTTCGTATTAACAGCGAACACTAACAGAGAGAGAGAGCGAGCAGCGTCACATGATCTCTCTCTCTCTTATCGTCCTGCTGTTTATTAAGTGTGAGACCTCACACTCCATCTGTCCTGCTCGCTCTGCCTTTTCACCGCTAATTCAATCCAACCTTCCCTCCCTGTTCTTTTCTTTTCTCCCCTCCACTCATTCACCTCCACAAACAATCTGCCTTCCTCCTCCTCCTCCTCCTCCTCCTCCTCCTCCTGCTCTCCATACGCAGCAGCAGAGCTGGAGAAACACCCGGAAATGAGTTCGGGGAGATACTTCTCCATAATCAAGCCCATTAATCATAAAAGGCTGTCAAATTTGACTTTGGGGACAATTTGTCAGCCGATCTTGCCCACTCCGCTTTTGTCACCGTTGGCTCTTGTATTCTGTAAGGATGATTGACACACCAAATGCTGGCGAGTAGAATAGCTAGTTTGCGCTAATATGCATAACCGCGGCTTTCATGAATAAGAATAAGG